GCACATAAAGAAGGGCACTTTCTTGTCCCCGCTTTTTTTCCTCTCCCTCTGCTTTACGTTTCTGGTACTTTCCCCCCTGCCAGATCTAAAAGCTGAAGTCAAGGTTTGCTGTTAGGCCGAGGAAAGCAAGCAAGCGTTGTTTCTAACTTCCAGTGCATGACTGAGTATTTTGATCCCCTGGCAAAACTGTGCCACATGTTCCTCCCCTGGGATGCCATCCCTGGTCCCACCAGCCCTTTCTGCTCTCCACGTAGAGCAAACCAGGGTTTCTTCCAAGCATTCTCCCTCGGTGTAGATGCTCGAGTTGTACCACTCATCCTACCATGTTATGGGGGGGTTGTTTGATGTCCATTTTCTGCCTGGAATGTGTACTTCTTGAATGCAGAGATTGGGTCTCTCTCGTTTTTATATCCTCAATACCCAGCCTGTGCTTGGCACATAGAGAGCCAATAAAATCAGTGTTGCTAAACTAAAGCGTCAGACACTGCAACCCAACTGTGCGTGTCTGGATGCCAAAGTTCCAGCGGGATGCAGCAGGGCTGGACGGACAGAATGGAAGTACCTGTCCAAGGGCTCCCCTGCTGCCTGCGTCCCTTCTGATCCCAGAGAACTGGCTCGGTTTCCTCCTCCTGGGCCTGCCTGAAGGGAAGACAGAAGACAGAGGAAGGAGCGTGTGTGAGTGCTGCTTGCCCGTTCCAGCCACTGCCCCAGGGCTGCGCTGGATGATGCACTGAGTGCCAAAAGCCACCCTGCAAAGCAGGGACCATTTCCTCTGTTTCGTGGGGGAGGAGAGCGAGCCTCACAGAGATGAGGGATGGTTTGGTGTGGGGTCCCTCTCTAAGTGGCTGTAGGAGAATCTTCCCTTCAAAGTCGTGCTGTGGTGTAGGTTTTATTTTCTAACTGTTAAATAAAATTAGACTGATAGGTGGAGTGAGTGCTGTAAAAGAGGCAGCCAGCATTACCAAAACGCAACAGGCAAAGGAGTCAGCAGATGGAGTCTAAGCTCCACGTGGCGAGGACAGAGCCTGACTCCACTGCCTGGACATCATACACGAAATTTAAGAATTTGTTGAGTGAGGGAGAGAGAGTGACTGAACAGACATTATCATAGAGAAATGGATCTGGAAGATGTCATTATTTAAACTATGAGACTGAATTTCTGCATGAGGTTATTAAAGTAAAATAATTTCTAATCTTCTTCTCAAGTTCTGAAATGACTCAGATTTTCCAATGCTTTTCTGAAGACTGAAGCCATCAGAAATGAACACCTACTGTGATAAAAGGAGAAATAGAGACATTAAGTTATAATAACGTAATAGGTACTTGTATGTGTAAACTACATTAGAAGACGTAGCGAAGTAGTCAGATGTTTGCATATGTGGAGTCATGTTGAATGCAACGTCTACAAATACAGACCGTTACTGGTCTATGGCGTTAGTGATCCAAACACTACGAGTAATGTTGCCCTCCGTGATGCCCTTCTGAAACGATAAACAATTCTTGTTAAAGTTTTGAATGAAACAAAGTACAGTCTTCCTTTAATTTACACAATGGTTACATTCCTAGAAAATTTGGAGTGTATTAAAAGCCTGCAAAATATATTTTGTGTTTGTATGAGTTGAATTCTGTTATCAGATAATTGTAATTTTTATTTTTGCCTAAATGAATTGTCTGGTAAGATAGTCAACATTTGTGTGGGAATGCAAGACAATTCTTTGTCACTGCGAGAACCAAAAGCACCCGCACATTTCTAAAGATGAGAGTGTGGTACTGCTCCCATTGGAAATCCTGAACGAATCCCAAAGAAATAAAGCAATAGTGGCTCAGACGTGTTAAATGGAATGTCCAAAGCCACCGAGCCAGTGGGGATAGTAGGAGGACACTGGAAACAAAGAGCAAGCATCTTCCTAGCCTTCTGATAAATCTTGATGCAAATGATCCTGAGCTGATGCTCTGTGTCGTACCAGTGACATCATTTCGAAAAGTCACCCCTTTTTTTAGAGTGGACCCTCCAAGGTGAAAAAAAGAGGACATTTCAATCTAACAGTAGAAAGTTCTACTCATAGTTGATGTTAACCAAGTGCTTGACTGACTGAAGGGTTTTATGGAAGGTAGAATCAAAATCTCTAGTTTGGCTGAGTGTTTGGAGAAGCTGGGATCAAGGTCTCTAAATGTGAAAAATAATGACAGTGAGATAGAAACGGAATCCCCACACCTTTAAATCTAAGCTTTGTCTCTGTATCAGCTTGGAATACCAGAAAGCACCAGGTTGTAGTCTATATTTGAAATGTTTTCAATGAATTACAATTTAGTGCTACATCCCTGGATTTGAGGTCAATATAATAATGATACATAAAGCTCAGTTTTGCATCTTTTGCCAAACCACTGTTGACAATTATTGTCTAGTCCTTTATACCTTGAGGATGTCCTTCTGTATTTCTTTCAATGTGTCAGAACTATATACACCATCGTGATTTTTTGTTTTGTTTTGTTTTGCCTTGGCTACCAGGAAAGTCAGAAATACATTTAATGCTCAAGTACAGTGACCATTTTACTCCGGGTTGCTGGTAGAATTATCTGCCCCTTTTTACTCCTGCTACTGATATGTCTCTGACTTTAATTGTCCTCTATGTGCTTTTATTATAAGCCACATCATATTTTTGTTAGAAGTAGGATAGGATATAAAACACCAGTCGATCAAGTCATGGCACTCAGAGGTGCTCGATCAATATTTACAGAACGACTGGATGGATGGGTAGGGGAAACACTCTCTCTCTTTTCTGTGACTAGAAGTGAATGTCCACTAGGGGGAGCATGAGCTCCCACTTATCAGGAAAAGGACACTTGCCACACCTGGACCTGGGACCCACAGGCTTGGATAGAGTACTGAGTAGTGTTTTATAATGATAATGAATCCTGTATTTCTGAAATACTTGAGACCTAGCCACCTGAATGTGTGAGCAATTGAATGTTCCAGTATTCCGCCAGTGGATCCATTTGGCGGTGTCCTTACCAGCCCAGTACCTCACCTAGTGCCGTCCTGCTAAACTAAAGAGCTGGAGACCAGAGCCAGAGAGTAGAGCATGGCCACCTGAAAAGAAAGCACAGGGCACAGCTCAGGTGTACTGAGCCAAGTGCAAGCACCTTTGTTTAAAATCCTTGGGAATCAGACTAACCAGATAGCTCTTGACCCGGTAAAATGGTGAGCAGAGTGGAAAAAAGAGGACATCAAGAATAATGAAGGGGAAGTTTAGAAGAATGGGCTCCCACAGTCGGTGACACGGTGGCTCATTTGCACCCGACCACTTGGCACTGGATCGCACACTGTTTTCTATTACTTTCCTCTCTTCCAGAGACTCAGAGCCTCAGGGAACTAAGATCTGCTAGTTCCATCTGTTCATCTGGAAACTGGGAACCAAGGAGGGACAACGCTTTGTCCCAGTGACACAGTGAACTACCAGCCCATCTGGGTAAGAGCCCGGAGTCCTTGTTGTTTGGTGGTTTTCCCACCATCTAGGTAGGAAGCCTTTGGAGGGCAGGTGCTGTGGGTGCTCTATTACAGACTAGAGGCCTAGAGCATCCCTGTTCAGAGCTCCGGGTTCTCCTGTTCCTCATGCAGACTCGGAGTTGGGATGAGCAATATATTTTGATTCTATCTTACAATAGAAAAACTGACAAACAGAGAATCCCTTAAACCCACAGTCCTTAGCCTGTAGGCCCATGAACTCGGATGGGGATAAAATTACATCTTTCTTTTCATTAACCTTTAACTAACATTTAGCATTTCCTGAAATTATGAATATAGGCAACAAACCGCAGTAGAAGCAGTAGGACTTGTAACTTTGTCACCAGTAGAAATCACAGATATTTTTATAGCACATTATTTGTTGAAGATACCTGAAAATATTATTTATACTCATCACTATTTTGAAATTATGGTAGTCATTAGATCATTGCTAGATCTTATTATTTTGTGCAAAAATGAACACAATTTTAAAAATATTTTAATTAATCAATTTCCTTTCCCAGTGTGTTTTATTTTATGCATTTAAATACTTAGGCCTCACCAGACTACCAAAGATTAAAAATAAAAAGGTTAAGAACCTTTGCTTAAAGAGAATGATACCTCTATTAACCTCTCATTTTCTAATTTGCTATGGATCATAAATTAATATAATGTGAATTTCTGTTGAAGCCCAGCAAAAGGGGTTTAGTTTCTAAAGCATTGAAAGGACGTCTTGTTACTAAGGGATTCACATAGATTTACTAACAAACATGGCATTATAGAAAGTGTATGGATTCAGGCATCTATATTTTATGGATAAAAGGATGTATGCAGAACCTTTCAACTAGCATTAAACAGAAACAAGACCTGATGCATAAGGCACCTCACGAAAACTATTAAAGATCATAAATAATTGATAGATTGAGGTAGTGGAGATGCCACGTCATACCTCCCTAATTGATTAAAATTTTTTTGAGGTTTGAAGTTAATTGTAAAAATAATAACTAATAGTTGAGAACTTCATTTTTCTAGTGTATTTTCAATTAAGATGATGTACATTTAACATAGACCTTTGTATTTCTGACCACCGAAGATTCAGTTCATATTAGGAAAATTCAAGCTTGAAAGTTTGAGGGGCTGGCCCGGTGGTGCACTGCTACAGTGCGCCGCTTGGGAGCGCGGCGGTGCTCCCACCGAGGGTTCGGATCCCACATACAGACCGGTTCCTGCTCACTGGCTGAGTGAGGTGCGGGCGCGACACTGAGGGTTGCGATCCGTTGCCGGACACGAAAAAAGACAAAAAGGAAAAAAAAAAAAAAGAAAGTTTGAGGCTTTTAGAAATATGAGAAGACTTATATAATAAAATTAAAAATCTTATGTCATCACATGGCAAAAAATGTAAAGTTCCCTGTGTACAATATTTTGTCTTTTCTGAAGTAATGTTGCAGAGATATTCAAGCTGGAAAAAATGTTGCCATTTTTGTTGTCTTTTCTACAGGTATTGAACAAGCTTGGCTTTTGATTATCATTGCTGCTGACCTGGAAACATTTTAAGGGGAAGGTTAGCTTCTATGAGTCATTGATATTCTTCTTATTGCTATTTGTAAATTTCCGCAGATTGGGGATCACTTCTGCTTTTTAGAAATTATCTGCTTGGAGCCATGCATCATTTATAACAATCTCTGGCAAAACCTCAGAAAAAAGATATGCTTTTGTCTCAGACAGATGTCAGAGGCTGCGGTGGAACCCAGTGCGAACATTCCCCAGGTGGCACGAGACCCCGTGAGGGAGCAGTAACTCTAACAGAGGTTCAGCGACTCCGGCTTTCTTCTCTCAAGGAGTATGACACAGTTAAAAAGGAAAAAAAGAGCCCCGGGCAAAACACAGCGGCTAATGAAATAGGAGAGGTTGCTCTCCTAAGCTCTTGGGGCTTGCAGCTGGACTTGGGTGCTCGCTTGCAGGACGGGAGGCCGTGGCCTGTGGAGTGAAGCTCTTCCAACTTGGGTCTGAGAAAAGGAGAGGAAATGGCCCAAGAAGTAGACCTGAGTTCCCTCCAGGAGTTAGAGCGTGAGGTCGTTCTCCAGGTCCTGTACCGAGATCGGGAGGTTCAGAACATAGAGGAGGAAAGGATACGGTATGTCTTGCAAATAGGGGGAACTGGGGGCGGGGGGAGGGGCTGGCTTTTGCCGCATGGATCCTGTTCCTCGTTGCCTTACTGCTGCTCATTACTTGTTAGTACTTGCTCAGTGCTGGGCTTCTTGTCTGAGCAGGGTCCGCATGCGGGGTTGTAGGTGGAGACTACCTTTGCTGTCTAACTAAACTGAGAAGATGGTGAGCAGGGGAGGCAGCTCATGTTAATCACTTAAAATGATGCCTTTTTGTGATGTTTGCTGTCTGTTTGCCTGCTTTAGGAAATAATTCAAGGCTTCTGGTACACCCCTATGGGAAAGCCCTTGGGTTAAGAGTTTTCCTACCTTATTTTTGGTGGTACCTCAATGTGCAAAGAAAAGCAAAGAAAGCAGCATAGAAACAGCACATCTGATAGAGTCCACTCCTGTCTTTTTTCTTGAGGAAAGGGGAAGCATTAAATAGGAACCTGCTTAGCCTGTTTCCTGACCATTTGTCAATAGGGAGATTCTTTCCTGGTCTGCCTCTAAGCTGCACTAACTGTTTGATATAGGTTAACATTTAATAAAGCAGTGCTAGGCTGTATCAAAACAGTGTCCATTGTTTGCTGTCAAGATCCATCTTTAAACATGTAGGGCTTGTTTATCAGTGTTTTTAGAGGATGTGAGGTTTAGAAACTAAGCAAATTGAATATATATTTATACATATTTTCGTTTGGTTTGGTTTCTAATGGCAGAAGTCTTTCAGAGTCTGCTAAGAAAAATACACACATAAAATAGAACTTTGGACAACCAAATGCTTGAGGAAAAAGGAAAATTTTCTGGTTACCTGTAAGGTACAATGCACCTTTTCCCTTCTCCCTTGTTATTTCAAAGCCCCCTAAGTATACTCGTAAACTTTCTTCCACTAAAAACTATAGTGCACTTAGAAAAATGGAATTTTCAAAAAAGAAAAATGGAATTTTCTCTGATGAGTAAAGATCTTTCAGTGATTTAGAGACATCATTTTGAATGTTAAAATAACAAAGATGCTGTGGTAAGAAAGTTTTGTTCCAATGGGTACTGATTCTAGGGAAAATTCTGAAAGTTGAATTTTAATGTACATTTCCTATATAATCTTGTTTCTTGAGATTGGCTCCTCTCTTCTAAAAGAAGGTAACAGAGACATTTCATAAAAGAGTATTCTGGTTAATGTCACTTTTGGGGGTTCACCTTTTGGGGTACAATGTCCCTTTGTAGTACAGCTATTGTTTAAGGGAATTAGGGGCTAGAATTGCACCAACCACCCATGAAAAAAAACGGTAGCCAAAACAGTATCATTTAAATAATTTCACTGGATAACTTATACCAATAGCAGGGATATATGCTATATATTTACAGATCTTTCCATGCCTTGCACATTAAAATTGATACTCTTTTCTGTGACTTTTCCTCTTCCCTCACAATTCTTGTTACTATTAAAATGGCCTTTTAGGCACAAGGGATGAACCGAGAACAAAATTAGCAGCTAACTCATCTGCACCAGGCATATTATTTGTGCTTTGCCATTTAATCCTCATGGCAACCCTGGGGCGTAAGGTTGTATCATCTCTGTTTCATCGTTGAGAAAAGCCTTGAGCCTTGGCTCCAAGAGGTTGAGGGAGATTCCCAGTTCACACAGCCCTGGTGGAAGCCCGGGATGTTGGAGGCCGAAGCCCCTTCCCTTGCATGAGCAGTACTGTGGGGGCTCTTGCTCTGTAGCCTGGCGTCTGGTGTTCCACTCACTCATGTCTTATTTAACTCTGTGGGCCGCAGGAAACTGAAATCGCACCTGCAGCACCTCCGATGGAAAGGGGCAAAGAGCACCAGCCAGGAAAACAGGGAGAGATCCTGTGCCCGCTGCCAGCGGGCGCTGGGGCTCCTGCTGAACCAGGGGGCCGTGTGTCGGGGCTGCAGCCACCGCGTGTGCTCTGAGTGCCGAGTGTTCCTGAGGAGGACTGGTGCCTGGAGGTGCACCGTGTGCTTCGAGGACAGGTGAGCATCGCCGGGTCGTGGAGATGGTTTGAAACAGACCTTGATAGAGCAGTCACCTCCTCAATCAATAAATGTTTACAGAGTGCCTAAGATGGAGCTAAGTTTCTAGACTTAGAAGTCATTTTAGTTCAAAGATAAATTTTCCTAACAGAAAAAGTTTTTTTAATTTATGAAAGTTTGTACTGGCTAACAGTGGGCTATCCCAGGAGTTAAAATTCTTTTGGATTTCTTAGTTTTCTTAGAGCTCAATTTATTTCCTTCAGTAAAGATGCAGTAAATGGTAACATGGGGAGTATTGGGGGGTCCCGTCAGCTTTACATGAGGCCTTTCTGAAGGAAGTGAGCTGACCTATTTTGGATACTCAGATAAAGAAATGGATGTGCTTTTTATCGGGGATAGAGTGAATCTACATTTATTTTAATCTTTTGCCAACGTGAGGTTTTTAAGCAAATTTTAACATGGAATTGGTATTTTCTAGCTACCCATTTTGAAAATTATAAAGAACGTATCCCGTTGTTCAAAGCAGAGTGGGCAGGCCATGACTTCCTTGAAATCACAAGGGGGTCTCTGTTGGGGGCGAGCGTGCACAGGACATTACAGAACTGATGAGAAGGGAGGGACGCTAGGCTGGTGTGAATCTACGAGAGTAATCAGAGACTCACACTTAAAAACAACCTCTAAATGCTGCTGCAGATGTGTGGTGCCCCAGGGACAGAGACTGTGAGAGGCACTTATTCGGTGTGGGTGTGGCAGCGGGGTTTTCTCTCCCCCAAGTCAGGAGGGCTGTCGTTATTGGACACCCTGACATGCACCTACGTACACTTTCTGGCCCTGTGCAAGGCTTAATGTATTTCAGTCATTCAGCCAAAGAGAGGTGAAGTGGTTCAATCTGATTTCCTTGCTTTTGAGCTGTATACTTTCCATTTCTAGAACTGCACACCAGGTCACCCCGACTCATATCAGTTACCCTTGGCATCTCATGTTCCTCTGGTTTGCTGAAGACAGTGCCCTTCAGGCTTTTCTTAGCTTGAGGGCCAAAAATAAAGAATTACTGTGAGCTGCCCTGGCCACACGTGTGTTCATGCAGGCCTGAGATCTTGAGAGAGTAGGTAACAATTCCCGATCATCTCTAGAAAGGTCTTAAGATCGGCTTCCCCTTTTCTTTTTTTTTTTTGTCTTTTTCCGTGTCCGGCAACGGATCGCAACCCTCAATGTCTCCCCCGTACCAGACCGGGGACCGGCAACGGGATCGCAACCCTCGGTGTTGCTCCCGCGCCTCGCTCAGCCAGTGAGCGGGAACCGGTCTGTATGTGGGATCCGAACCCTCGGGCGGGAGCGCCGCCGCGCTTCCCAAGCGGCGCACTCATCCAGTGCGCCGCACTCATCCAGTGCGCCACCGGGCCGGCCCCTGGCTTCCCCTTTTCAATCAACCATATATATTGACAGTCTAGTGACAAACATTGCTGGCTAGGGTGTCAAATTCCTCAGCATTTTTTCTTCTTCTAATAGTTAACTATAAACTAAAAATCAAAACAGCAGGACAGGGGCTGAGGCAATCTCCCAGGAAGCTGGCCGTGTTGACATCTCCACCCTTGTGGGCATTGTGCCCTGGGCGTTGTAACTTTACACTCTAAGTACATGAAGTGTGATTTCTAAAACCCCAGCTTCCTTATTTTGAAATAAGAATGTCTTTCACAGTACCTAAGATAATTGCCTTACTGTGAGTGAATTAACACAGGAAGCCGTGTGGGGAGAGAATGAAATAATCTATAACAACACATCCTCCCCTTTCTTCGCAGCCCTCTGTCCTCTCTCCAGCTTGTCCTCTCAGGGCTGCCATCCTATTTTTAGGGCCAAAATAAAGATGAGGTTTTGTAAAACTTTAGAATATTTGACACTAATAACTGTCTCTCAGATCGGGACCTGGAAAGGTTTTCCGACCGGATCACTTTTCACCGCTGCTTCTCCCTCAGCTTGAGGCTCATTCGTCAGGACGAGTGGATTGGCTGTGGGAGCAGGATGCAGAAAATGCATTTTTAACATCAAGAAAGAGGGAGCTCCAGGAATGCAATTAAAAAGACAGAGCAGTTTATCGACCGCTGCAGAGCAAAAGGCCTGTGAAATGTGCTGGCCTTGGGCTTGTGGTGAGGTTCCAGGAGACATTTAAGATGACATTTCCCTGGAGACATTTCTGCCTCCAGGGAGAGTTTTCTCCTGGAGAACTGCTGGGTGCGAAGCTGCTAAAGGCCCCGGCAGCTCAGAGGACGGAGGGGCGGGGGAGGCTGGGCTGGCTCAAGGTCACTTCCAGAGCGTCCATGTCTGGAGTCTTCCTTTAATGTTTGATTTAAAGCTTACAACAGCCTTATGGGGTGGCTACTCCTATGATTCTCATTTTACAGATGAGGAGGTAGAGGCTTAGGAACTTCAGATAGTTTGCCCAAGGCCGTGTGGTCGGTGGGAAGCAGAGGGAAGGCTGGAAGCCAGGCCTCCCTGAGCCCCTGCCTGCCCTCCACCCCGTCCCCTGCCTGGTGGGAGACACGCCCGGGCAGCGTTGGGCTGGTGGCGGAGCAGTAGGAATTGGAGGGGAGCACATGCTGTATGCTGGAAGAAAGCAGGACCAAGGTCTGCTGTTGTTCTGCAGGGTGGAAGGTGAAGGTCAAAGAGCAACATGAAAGGCATCGGGGAGTGAAGGGAGGAGGCGGGTGGCAGTAGTGACGGAGACTGTGGGAGACAGGTCACAAAAGCGATGATGGAACTTGGTTCCAGGGCCTAGAAGAGAGGGAAGAGTGAGAAATGATTCTGAGGGCTGGCCACGTGGAGAGCTCTGCATGCTGGAGCGGGTCACAGTGCATCAGAAAACCAGAAGAAATAGCGAGCGGGAGAGAAGGAACGGGAGGGACTCTGTCAACAAAGCCGAGCTGGACAGGACCTTCCAGGAGTGAGGGGCGGTGTGCGGTCCTCAGCAAGAGCCGGTCAGAAGACGGGACAGGGAAAAGAAGGAGGGGAAAGTTAGAAGCATAAACTGATCCTTGCTTTTTGGTTGATGTTTTTCCCCTTGGAATTTATTGGCATTTTCTGCTCTGAAATTGCAGAAGATTGTGACTATGTTGAAATATTGGGGAGGAGACTAAGCTTTACATTTGCTTGTTTGTTTAAGCTTCATTTCTTTTAGACATATGGAATTTGATGTTACTGAAGATAATATATCTTTAAGGGAAAAAAATCAATGCAAACTTATGCTATGCAGTAGCATCAAATTCTGCATGTCTAAAAGAAACCTGCTCATCTCCCTGAAGTAGATTGCTGAGGAATTACTCTTGCTCAAGATGTGTCCCCTCCAAATTGTGATCTTTTTCTCTTGCTTTGTAATTGGCTATGACTACAACAAATCATTTCCTCTTCAGATTCCCCGCCTGTTTCATTAGGAACATTTTGCTGGCAGTAAGGATGCTTTGGATTGAATAAATTCAAAACCCTTTGTACAGAGAATTCTATAAGTTTGCAAATATTTTAACAATAATAAATGTGCAATAGAACTTTTATACAATAATTAGAACAGAGATTTTAGACTGAAGGTTTCAGATTGTGGCAGGGTGTGCTGCTGATTTCAGGGTGCTTTCTTGGATTTCTCAAATTTCTCTCGTATACCATACCTGATACCAGTGGAGAACAGCTTTAGTATGTTCAGGTGAAAATTGATCCAGACCTTGGCATTTTATTGTTATGTTCTTAATTCTCAGGTTGGGTCTTGAATTATTGCTGCAGAACATTAACAGTTAAAATAAGATTTTGGAATTTATTAAGAGGGATTTTTAGGATTTAGATGTAAAGATATTGTTGCAGGATGACATGTTGTATTTTCTGTATTGCATGAAATAACTTTTATTGAAAATTAAGTGACATTTCAAAAGAAGTTATAGAACAATTATGTTTCCTGCGTAAAGTTTACTTCCCAGAGTTTGGAAAATGTAATCTCTTAGATTTCAGATGGGAACTCCCTGTATTTTCATAATCCTACATTTTGATAAAATACCAAATCACCACTTTATATCCACAAAGGCAAATAACTAATTATGAGAATGGAATAATTCATACCTATTGTTATAAATACATCTACTCTTCCAGTGAGTAAAAGGTCTAACTCCATGAAAGACTGAAAAAAAAAAAAATCGAATGCCACATATGGTGTAGGAGAGTTGGCCACCAAGGAAAGATTTTAGCCTGCTACCAAGGTTAAAATGACATTTGTCTACTGCTTCAAAAAAATTTTTTTTTGTGTGTGTGTGTGTGTGTCCAGTACAGGGAACAACCTTGCTGTTATGAGGCTGCACTCTAACCAGCTGAGTAACTGGCCAGCCCACTTCAAAATTTGATTTCTTTTTTTTCTAAGTCTAAGTTTTGATATGGCTGATACAAACTGTGTTCATGTGTTTCACATTAAAAAGTATATATAGATAAGTTAAACATATTGAGTAAAATATTTCACAGTCATGCCTTACAAATTTTCAAGAGTTAGCCACTAAGACTAATTTTCACAAGATATATTAGTCCATTTTCTGTTGCTTATAGCATAATACCTGAAACTGGGTAAGTTGTAAGAAAATGAAGTTTGTTTCTTGCAGTTTTGAAGGCTGGGAAGTCCAAGGTCTAGGGGGCACATCTGGTGAGGGCCTTCGTGTTGGTGGGAACTGTCTACAGAGTCCCAGGGTGGTGCAGGGTGTCACACGGTGAGGGCTGAGAAGAGTATTTTTATGTGCTCGCTTTCTTTGTAAAGCCACTAGTCTACTCCCTGATAACCCATTAAACCACTAGCCCATAGCCGTTGTGGTCCAATCACCTCTTAAAGACCTCACCTTTCAAATACGATATAGGGAATTAAGCTCCGACTTGAGATTGGGGGAACATTCGAACCATAGCAGAAGGGAACGGCCTTTTGTTCTTTGATATATAGTTTTTTTCTTCTTTGTTCTAAATTAGAAATAGCATCTGTTTTGGTTCTT